GAATGGCATATGAAAGAATTCACATACAGACAGTGATTTTTTTAACATACTAGTTGTGGCCCGCGACTCTTTGTAGCCTATGTGTTCTTCCATGCTATGTTCTACATTTATGCCAAATGTCAGAAGGATCCGTTCAGCCATTCTGCCTCCATCCAAACATTCGTATTTATAATTTAGTAAGAAGTAAGATTAGTTAGATATAGATCCATACTTTTGTTTAGAGATATCATTTGTTGCACAACTTGTTTAATTACCGTTGTAATTAGTTTTTAACTTATTACACGGTTCTAGAGAATTCTTTAACGATATATTTATATAGCTTAGATAAATATAATTAGTACTAAATATATTCTAATATACATAACAAGACCCTGAGGTTATTGGTCTTGAAAAGTTTAAACATTAGAAAGTGGAGGCAGACCTTGTTGAATAAAACATAATGTTTTGAATTTGCATCGCTTCTGAGCCGCTGACTGACAATTTTAACGAGGAAATAATATTTGTTTCAAAGTAAACAAAAATTATACTTTTAGAAAATACCCGAGATCACCTTGTCAGTGGAATTGTTCAATATTTATATTTCTCTGAAAATTAAGCGGAATCGACCACAAGATTCTCTCTCACAATCTCGGTATTCTAAGCGATTGAAAATAACATAAATTAACTAACAGGGTAGTGCACTTCACGTCAAAATCCCAAATAAGAGTTGTTGTATTAAAAAAAGTAATTTTTATTATAATATTATGATTAAACCGAAGTCAAAGTAAGTCATGTAAAATTTATCAGGGCCTTTGAACTTACATATATACGAGTATGTACACACAAAGGTGATTTTAGTGTCGTTTAATTGAATGAGAAATGAGAGTCACGTTTCATGTGAACGGAGAATGAATGATAGTGATTAGTGAGGAGATAGATATTGTGAGGAAATAATATTATTATATTAAATATATAAATTGTGTGACGTCACAACATCACGAAGATTATTAGTTATTGCTGTTAATTTGGCGATGACTTGCTAAAGTTACTTTCTTGTGATGTGCATACAAACCGTTAACTTTTTATAATATTATATTCCATATTAAGTCGCTTTGCTCTTCTGCGTCCCGTTTTATCAAATAGTGGGAAAGCAAAAGAATTATAAATAGACACTTATGTCATTAATTTAATTATTGTTAATTTACTTATCTCTATTAATATCGACATAGTGTCAGAATCCTGTTCGTAAAAAGACAATCCCGCATCTACTGGCTGCCACCGACTTAACAAATACCATAGTATCAGTATTGCATTAAAATTTAACATACTGAAATAAATTGGATGTTCACCTCATATATTAATGTAAACATCAATCTTCGACATATTATGTCATTAGTGCACCACCCTAAAGTTATGGAGAAAACTGTCTAAATGTTTCATCTATATTTACGACGCTAGCGATTCCCCGGCGTTGTGCAGAAATACCGTCTAGGATCTGTGAAAGTCCTGGCGTGGTTACACGTGACTGGAATTACAGTGGGCGTTCACAGGTGTGCAAGATGCAACCACTTACAAGGAGTTCACCGAAACCTGCCAAACTTTGCAAGAGTCTATGAGAAAAAAGTTTGGCTATCTGCGTGATAGGGATGGCAACGTTCATTGTTTTGTTTTGTATAATAGTTACATGATGTAGTAATTAACAAACAAGGAGCTAAAACCACAGGTGAATACGGAATAAATTGGTTCTTAAGTAACCATCAAGAAATTATCTTAATTACAACAATTATCATAAGAATGTTTATCTTTGTTTTATATTGACTGGTCAAGTTCATTCTATTGGCAATTATTCACTATTGTTCATTTGTAAATTATGTACAAAAAACTTGATCAAATCAGTTATCAATATCACAATGGATGACATCAATTTGAACAATGAGATAACGATTTGGTGGAGTATATTTTTTTTATATCATAAGGTGGCAAACGAGCGAGCGGCCACCTGAAATCGCTGAAGTAGCGAAGTGATCGTTGCCCATAGATATTCGCAATTGCATACGCGTAACCTACCTTTAATCGACGGAGGAGAGGATGCACAGAATGAAAATATTTTCCCTTTCCATGCATCCTCTCATCCGGAAAGTCCACTTCCACTTCCCATCCTTTCCTTATAGGAAAAGGGTGGGAAGGGAAAGAGGACTAAATGAGGCCTCCGGGACGCACACTCATCAGACGAAACGCGGAATTGCTTCCGCTTCACGCCTGTTTTCTGTGTGGTGCTGGTATTTCACCGGGCGAACCTGGCCAATACGTGCGAAGATGTTAAAGCGGGTTCTACCAATCTTAAAATTCAAAACTATTGAAATTAAATGACTTGGGACTCGTCTGGTTTCACCAACTTCTGTCTACTCCGTTGTTTGTTGACTTTGTGTGTTATGTGTCATATAATTCCGCAGTAATAAACGTCATTTAAGCGGCTAATTCCATAGACATAATTGCATTCAGACTGCCCTTTGATTAACAGAATTAATATAGCAGTAGTTGTAGGAGCAAGTTACGCACGTACATCTAAAACTTGTTATGTACATAAGCGATATGATTATAGTTGCGTCGACCTGCCTCGTCACATTGTGACTCAGCTAACTAGGGCTTTGTCAACGCAATTCACAATTAAAATAAAATATTCCGTAATTATAAAAAAAGTTGATTTTTTTTACACAAGTACACAACATTTATCCTATGCAGGAAACGCACAGTAAAAAGGATAAATCCTCATATTTTTTATGTGATAAGTACGTTACTTATAAAAAATCTATAATATAATGTGAATATTATCTCGTGAAACCAATAAGATTATAACTTGAAGTGGTGGAGTCGGCCACAGTCATTTAAACTTGCGCGAATGGGTCGGCTCGCCCGGGATTTACCAAAGTCAATGACCTCATGTAACCGAGGCAGGTGAACTGAATCCACATACCGAAAACTGACTGCTTTAGTCTTGTTAAGTTTAAAGTTACGATTTTTGTACTAAAACATTTTTCGTAACTGTATGTTTTTATATAAATATGGATCAGTCAGAAATATAAAAATTTAATTATATATTATTAAAATTTTAAAATAACTCGTAAAGTATAATAACATATTTCTAATATAGTAGTTTACATTAAAGTGGCAACCCTAATGTATTCGCGGTGCGAACAAATGCGGAATTCCCTACTTCGGCTAGCTAGGCCTCCTCGTCAGCCGCTGACGTCGCAAATCTGACGGCTACGCCTCACTACCTGCCCGACTGACTGACTGACTGGCTGACCACTTGCTACCGCCCTCATCATGACGCCATTGACGCACTCTGTTTAGGGTTTTTGTTAATGCTCTGACAGCTAACGTAAGATGGACCTCATTGATTTTATTGTTTTCAAACCAAGAAGTTTCATTTTCTGATATAATGAAAAGGAAAAAATAATTATTTACCAAACTATACAAACTATACATCAAAAAAGATTTCAAAGGCACAATATTAATATATAATAAGAATATACCTACATCAAAGGCTAAGTTAATACTGCTAAAGGGTAAAATTATATTACTGTAAACTTACGTGAAGTACTTTCACTTCCTTTACAAAGAACAAAAATAACCTTGACATAGAAGGTATACTATTATACTATAAAGTAAAGTTTAAACACATTTCTACAGACACAAGCTTTTTCGTTACGTAACAAAGAAAAACTTGCGAGACCTGTAGTACACAGCTGCCAAACTAGTGACATGCGATACATTAGCGATATTTAAATATCGCTAATATTTAAATCCCACCAGAAACTTAAACACAGTTGAAATAATCGATGTTACACTTATATTGATTTTTTTTTAATTTTTACTACAAATGTTTTAAATTGATTATTTTCAAGCGAAGCGCACAAAATATTAAAAATTAATTTTAACTATTCGGATAAAAAAGTGTTAGTTCGCTTTAGCTACGCTTCAGTGTAGCTGTGTGTGTACTACAGTTATATGCGTGATCTTTTCAGATTTTTTTTTCAGAAATGTCAGAGTATAGTGACAAATAATTGTTTGTGCTTTGTATCCGCTTCCTGAAAACACATGAAAGGTAACATTTACCTGATTTGGTTTGTCTGAGTGACACAGTTCATTTTGTGATAAATATCATTCAATTATAATTAGTTAATTTAAATTTTTCCTTCTTGATTAATATTGTAATGTTTCTACGGTATTCCGTCTCACAACTTATATCTAGAAAATTATCTGAAAAATATTTCTTGTTAATTTTTTTCGCTCTTTTTGCTAAAATCTTCTTCTTCGAAGAGCTTTCAGTAACATAAAAAACAAAGCGTTTTTTTAGTTTTTATTTTTTATTGAAATTTCAAGATCTATGCACATGTGTAATTTACATTCAATGAAACACGTAAATTATTTTTAGGCTTTTAAAGTCCTACACTCTCTCACAATTTAGGTTTTTTTCAACTCGACGCACTTCCGTTTTCTACGAGTAAACGAGGAAAGTAAATGTTAAGTGACAGTTCAATTAATGTATGGTAAAAGACGTTTCAGACGGTTAGTTTATTGTCCAACAAAATCCAAATTAATGGCTGTCGTCCTAAGATCCCGTTGTCTCTAACATCAGCTATGCAGTCAACTAACAGTTCACGACTACTAAAGAAAAAAAGCATTGTCATCATTCTTTTTGCCGTATCTTGCAATGCCACTATTAATTACTATCCACTCGCAATGTATTTCTGCGGTGAAATTCACTTGATGTGGAAGAACCCACATTCTAATTATGCTAACTCATTTTTCTATGACGTCACTAATTAAAAATACGTCCCATGGAAAAATACATCGTCAATCGATACCTTCGCCATTTCACAAACAATTAAATTTATAAAAAAACAGGTTGTGTAGACACGCACGCACACAACCGCGCTGACTTACGTCGGTGTGCGTTGCGAAATTTTATATAAGCACAAGAAATGTAAAGCGAGATCTCATTAGATGGCCGAGCGACTGACCGCCGCCGCCGCGACATATTGTTTAAAAAAAACAATATTTTTATTCTGTGCGCGAAGTGGCGCGAATTTCGATTTACGCGCCTAAAATATATGAAATTTACTGCATGTTTTATTAATCGTATGTTTACATGAAAAGTGTATCTTTATGAGTGATTATTGATATATTGTGTGACTGATTTAGCTATAAATTTATGTATGGTGTAATAAATATATTACCGCCTTTAAATAATTGTCAAAGCGCTTTGATCTATTTTAACCATACAAAATTAAAACAAACAATATTTGGAATTAATATTACGAATATTGCCTGATAGAACCTTTTATGGATAGTACGAAGTGCAATTAAAATCGTATTAAAAAGATCAGTCGTATAAACGTTAGTATTGATTGTATAGTTTGAGTCAGAGTAAAGTGAGTTGTGCAAAATGAAGGACTTGGCTCAGATATGGAACAAGTTTGCGGGAAGACAGTACGCCTCAGTGAACTCTGCAGAAAAAGAACTCAGGGACCTGTCACATAACAGGCTAAAGAGAGCAGACATCGATGTGTCCAGTTTTGAGCAGAACTTTTCAGAGTGCGAGGGACTGAACTACAAGTTCACGGAGGAATTGGACTTTGCCGACAGGAAGGATGCCATTATAAACAGATTGTTTGAAAGACGAAAAAAAGGACAAATCGCTAGACAGCCTAAATGTAAGTTTTTGCTGTTATAGTAATTTTTTTTAATTGTATTGTTTAGTTTACTAGGTTAAACATATAAATATTAATAAATATTGGAGTGTCGGTATGTAATATCGGAAAACAATTATATTTCTTAATTTTGGCGGGACTTTTAGTGAAGGATCCGGCAGTATTTATTTATGCGAAGCTGAGGAAGTTATAAAATAAATATAATTTTAGATCCCCCAATTAAATTTAACTCGTTAAATAGACGTTATGTATGGATATTATATATTAATATTTGACAAATTACTGAATTTTTTGACTGAGATTACCAAAACCAAGATAGAGTAGTATTATTTGTTATTTCATACTATGTTCTATACTTGTGCCAAATGTTTAATATTTTAATCAAACGTATCCGAAGTGAACCATAAACTTTTCTGATATCACAGGTGACCTATGAGTTTTTCCAGAACTTGTTCTACATCTATACCAAATATCATCGAGATAAATTTAGCCGGGCTGGAGACGCGTAGTAACAAATATTAATCCAGACATCGATCCATCCATCTAACCACTCGCATATATAATATAAGTGAGAAGTAAGATTGTCAGTTAATTTCTTTAGATTTAAATAACTTATCATCAACGATTTCAACTCACGACATGATCATTAATTGAAAATATGATAATCGTATATTTTATTGATATTATTTGTCATGCTAATGAAAAACACATTATAAACGGAATACATACATCGGATGTTGCTGCGTACAATTAAAAATAAATTATTTGTTTCTTCCCTAATAAATAAAAACAAAAACATCAAAGTTCATTGTAGCCATAACTGATTTATACGCCACGCCCTAAACAAAAATCCTTAATTAACATTTTAAAACATGCATCAGTGACCGAAATCCAACAAAAACAATATGATTCTGTGCAAATGTTAGCCCAAAAAACATATTAATTAAATTACGACTGAAAAAAAACTTGCAGCAACAAAAACATCTAACTAGATTTAAATGTAAAACGTTGTCACCGCCATCTAGTGGTTATTTCTGAAAAATTACATTTTCTTTCATATCCTACAATATTTTTATGTTAATGTTAATTTATTTACGATAACTTCTATAAAACACGAATATTATAGAATGTGATTTGATTGAAGTCTGCCAACAAATAACACGTTGACTTATAATTATGACATTGAAACAGTTCGCAATCAAGACTTGTAATATCGTTTCGTCTTTTATGAAATTTCTTTTTTATTTTAATGATTATTATTTGATAAAAAGAAATCTATGAATAACATAAGTGTAAACATTTTAATCTGCAAACAAATCACGGAAGCGGAACTGATCACAATATATGTAGTTCACTCAAAACGCTGAGGGAAAAACATCGTTTGCTATACTGTAATATGTATATCACTACGAATCATTATTATATTGAAAAACATTATTTTTTGTTACAAAAACAAATGTATTTGTATGTTTAAATTATATAATATTAAGTGGGATTTTATTATAATTCAAGAATATAAAGTTACGAGTATATAACGTATAACGCATCTTGTCAGTTGTATGACATTAGTTAGTAATTTAAATTGTTTAAACTTTCGTGAGACATTATAACAAATTAATTAGGAATGGCTTAATTCACGTATCGTCCGGCGACGACACCGATTGGTTTCAGACCCTTCGGGGGTTCATCTTCAGGGCGAGTGTTCATTTAATTTTCTTCGTAGTCGCGACGCGTCTCGCAATTTAGTTGTCGGTGACAATGTTTGTGGGCCGCATTTAGCCAGGGATACTACTTGAACTAGGAACTTTTACAAATTGTGTAGAATATGTGAATTACTGTTTATTGCTCAAAGTTCTGTTTGGAAATGTTATCGTAGGGTTTTTTCTTTGTCGTGTCTAGATTTAAATGAGTTGTTAAATCGCCATTTCCCACTGTATGCCTTACAAGGCATAATGAATATGCGATGTCGTTACATTATTCATAAAAGCATAAACGTTGTTCTAAAATGGTCTTAGGATTGTGGGTAAATCTTATGCTTTTTCTAATGTTCATTTGTTTACTAACGAACAAAACGAACTCCCTATATCCACATGATTGAGAACGTCAGAGTATCAAATCGAAGGTTCGAATCAATCTTTTCTATTTTATCGTAAAACAACTCCTCGTACAGGAAAGAAAATGAAAGAAAAAACTATTGCCAACTTGAATTAGAAATATACTGGATTTCCAAATGTCTTTTATTCGTTGAACTCTTTTCCTTGTACGACATTGTCATTGGTAATATTGTTTCCCTTAATTTATTTAAGATTTCAAGTAATGAACTTTATATTAATTTTTGGTAACAACTAAATATGTAAAGTTTTGTTGCAGATTAGTGGTATAATATCAAAGTGGATGTTCTTGATAACTTATGTACATTTAAAGTGAAAACTTTATCCCGAGCATTGATCATTATCTTTGTAATCACTAACACTTTTCATTTTTCACGTATCACGGGAATCGAGCGCTCAATAGTATTTTGAAAGCAGTTATCTTGTTTCAATCGAGTTTTCCCTCGCGTTCGAGACAGCGCAGCGTCGCGACTACGTGCTTATTAGAAATCTGTCTAGAAATTTAATATTATCTTTGATGTTAATAACGGTGACATTGACCGACGTGACCGATGACAAAGACGGCTTCTCTAACTCTGCGCGACTCCCATGGCTCATATTATATGACCTTTCATCATCTTTTGGCTAACGATTTGAGGAAAAAATCAACGTTTGCCAAAATGATAATATTAACAGAGATCTAATTTTCTAAGTGAATAGTTTTAAAGATACGGAAGAGTTTGCATCTATTAATATATTTAAGAAATAAAAAGTTGTATAGTTTAGTCATAATTTATGACATTCGAAGGTCATAATAAATTATATGGCATATAATAGAATCGCGATTCAATTATATTTTGGCATAAATGAATCCATAACGACTATCAGCAGAGTTTAACCGCAGCGGCATTGAACCGGCGTCCCATTTAACTGACCAGTTTAATGTCGCCTTATTAAATTCCAACTTCCGCGACAGAAACTTCTAGAACCAATTTAAAAACCGCAATGTTTTTAAAATATTGTATCAAGATTTACTATTTAATAGTTATTTAATGGCGTATAATAATATATCGTATCGTTGTATAGCATTCAGATATTTCTGAACTAATCTTACAAAATTTGCGTAACGATTGATAAACCTAACTTTTAATATTTTGTTTAAGAAATTGTTTTTTTTTGCTTACTGACAGTTCAGGAGCGCGGTAATAAAAATTTGCGAATATTGGATTAAACAATAATAAATATTCAAACGAGTTAATATTTTAACAAAAGGTGTATTTAGTGATGCAATAATACAGATTTTACAGGAAAATAAGTTAAACAATGAATGATAATAAAAGCCAGTTCTCGCTAACTCATACAAAAAATGTATTTTGACATACATTCAGTATTTTGTATTACATTATAGCGCATTAGTGTTTCCCGTGTTTGCTTTGTGACTAAAATTTTTAACACATTTATGGGTAAATCAGTTTAGTTCGTGACGTAACGCTTTATTTTGGTTTGCCTCCTTTAGCACCATGTTACATTTAATTTTTATTACATTTTCGATTTGCTAAGCTATTTTGAATATTTATACAGCTTATGCTATTACCCTGTTGTCTTAATTTTCAGTATTATCTCAAGCTGCCTCTTTCTGATTTTAAGTTATACTTTGGTCAGATATTTCATTGATCCTTAACCTTTTGATGGCCGGCACCGCCCGCGTACTCAATACACTCACAAACTTGATCACGTTAATCAGACAGTATCTTTTTTTTTACGTTTTATAAGCTAGCGCTTGACCACGATCCCACCTGGTGTTAGTGGAGATTTGGTCGAAAGATGGTACGCGCTAGCTTAGTAAGTGCTCATTCACTCTACTTTCAATTTTTTGTCGGAGTTATCAATTTGATTTCGTCGTTTTACAAATTTTTAAACTCGATTCATAAATAGTATCTCAGAGGTCAGCGACGTAGTATCTTAAGCGTTAATAATTAATATAAATCAACTAATAGCAATTGAATTGCAGTAGTGAACTAGTATGCAAATTATTCTCGTAAATACAAAGTTCTTGATACAAATCCTTGTTCGAATACCGCGAAATATGAAGACGCGTGTCTCCGCCGCATTGCATATTGTATATTTAGTTATCACTATCGCCGCTTAACAAGAAGGTTATGTAGAGAAGTTTTCAAAAATCCTCCAAATTATTGTAACAAACTGATGTCCCTGAGGATTTATAGTTGTTAGTATTACTTTCGATTAATTGATTATTATTTATACACATATTTTAATTGTTTTATTTAGCTGTTTGGTGATTAATGTAAATAAGAGGACTTATTGTCAATTTTGAAAGCAATACGCAAATGACAAATGTGGAGGGATTGGATTCAGAGAACAATATGTCGTGTTGCGCAATATACATAGTTTATAACAGTTATGTATCTGATCAGGATGTAGGAAAACATTTTGCGGTTTTGTTGTAAATTTGCAAGTTTAAGTGATACATACCAGTTGGTTGTTCACTCGAATCATTTACATACAACACAACACAACGTGTTTATATAAATTATGTACAACATCTGTTTGTTTCTTGTGCCAACTAGATACTTTATCACACGACACTTCTAAATCCCTTCTAAATCTAACATTACATTTGTAAATGTTCAAAATATTGTGTTAATTGATTTTGTACATATACACCGACAAATATATAGAACTAGAAATGATAAGTATTCCTTATATATAAACCGAGTACATCAGTAGGTAGGTATAGATAAACACATTAAATAGGCATCCTTCTGTTAATTAAATATATAAGAAACAAGTAAATCGTTTATTTGATTTGTATTATATTTTGTCTAAGAATACAAATGTGTGATGTCTATTTACTCATTGTTCTAGGTATATGCTCGGCCTTCCCCGAATGAA